GGATAGGTTGGTTTTCCTGCTCAGCAATTGGTTGCTTTAGTTGATCAAGGACAGAGTTGGCTCTGGTTTCAGGGCCAAAGTGTGTTTCTTTCACTGACCCTTTTTAGACTTTTGGCTCTAATTTCAGGACCAGGGTGTATTTCTTTGACTGGCTCTGGTTCCAGGGACAAAGTGTGTTTCTTTGGCTGTGGTTTCAGGGTCAGGGTGTGTTTCCTTGGTTCTGGTTTCAGGACTAAAGTGATTCTTTCACTGGCTTGGGTTTCAGGGCCAGGGTATGTTACTTTCACTGGCTCTGGTTTCAGGGCCAGGGTTGGTTTCTACAAGTGAACTTCTCCACAGGTCTCTACACAACAAGTCTTAGTGTTGGAACTCTTATCTACTGATCAGAAAGAAAAACAACCTCATAATGTTTGTGGGAAATTCTGACTGTTTCAGGTTATCCCTATGAGGAGAAGCAAGAGGTCTCAGAGCAGACACACACACACAGACATGAGTGACCCTGGGAGCTTTCCAACAACATTCTAATAGCAATTGCTTGGGAAAACAGTGCTGTCATCCCATGGCATTTGATTTCTCTGGTTTCAAGGATTGTGAACTGAACCTGCTGTCTAAGCTTCCTTTATTCATGCAGGCAGCTTCTCTCTCCCTGGAATGACGTCTACCCAAGACTGTCACAGCATTCAGAAGGTTGATAACTACTGCCAATGATGGTCTTGGTGACATGCAGATTCCTGAACTTTGGCCTAGACACTTTGGCCAGGCCAATAATATAATAAGCCTTCTCTGCACACTGTTCACTTTATCAGTAAGACTCCAGTGAGCCAGGGCCACATGAATCCCCTCTAGGAAGTATCCAAGATGCTTATGACTGCATGTAAGCTTGGAGAGCATCCCTGACTTATACCTAAGGCTTTCATGTCCAAAGGCCCAGCAATTGTCTCCAAGGCCTTGGCTCTGCTGGGTGGTTAGGGAGGGTTCTGCCTGCTGCAGGATCTCTAGGCTGGTCTATCAAATAAGAGACTTCAGCTCCCCAAATGCTACATGTTCTGGGAGACAGAACCGGACAGCACACAGGGCCAAGTCAGGCCATGTTTCCACATATTTCTCTGTCAGCTCTCTCTCCACTGTGAAGACAGGCTGTTCTTCACTTTTTTTTTTTTTTTTTTTTTTTTGGTTTTTCGAGACAGGATTTTATATTGTTGTCTTAGGGATTGACTTAGGGAGGTTCTCTTGTATCCCAAGATTGCCTCAGACTCCTGATTGTTCTGTTACTACTTGTCTGGTGCTGAAATCAGTGGCATGTCACCACACCACCATGCCTGGTAGCTCATCTTTATTGGATGTTCCCTTCAGTGTTACCCTTTGTGCCTGCTGACACTTATAACCTCCATAATTGTCAGTTGAATGAAAATATGAAGAGAAGAAAAAGAGATTGTTGACAGCTAACAATAATATAAATAGAATGCAGTAGTGCTAAATGCTAGTGGAATGTTACAGAGACAGTAGGGAAGGAAGGAGGAAGGACATTGCCTCCCCTATACTGTTACAACATTGTCAATGTTTCCTCACTGAGGGTCTCTATCCATTTAGAAAACATCAGAGATGTGTGTGTGTGTGTGTGTGTGTGTGTGTGTGTGTGTGTGTGTGTGTGTGTGTGCTTATTGACATGCACAGATCCAAGTCTTCATCCTTGCTGTATGTGAAACAAACCTTCCAGAACATCCAAAGTGTTTGTGGTCTGCCAACCCACCCCAGCATCATTCTGGCAGCCTCATGTTCTTTCATCCAACATTTGTTTAGAAATCTCGACAGAAACATGGTTTTTCTTCATCATTTCCCCTAAATGTCTGTGTCACTTGACAAGACAAGGTTGAGAGTTGCCAAGTGTGGAATTCTGTTCTCAAAACTTTAATACATTTATTCATCTGTATACTTATATATGTGTTTGCACACATGTGCCAGAGCATGGTTGTGGGTCAATGGACAAGTTGCAGCCATTAGTTCTCTACTCTCACCATGTTCATCCCAGGGTCATACTCAGGAGTTCTGTGAATTCCTTGGCTCTGGGTGGTGTATAGACTGCTCACAGCTAAGAGGAATGGGGATGACAACAGAAGGCAATGATAGTGACCTGGACCAAATTTGAATCATTCAGAACATGTCATCCTCATTAGAGGAGTCTGTTAGCATCAGTGAGGCACGGGCAAGCCATAGAGACTGTCTTGACATTCCCAACAGTGTATGGGCTCTTGGAGAGAATAAGAAAGAGACAATAAATGTTAGCGAGGCATCTCTAGAAGATGTGTTGGGGCATTTGGGGAGTAACAAAGGTTAGCAAATCTACAAATTCAAGATGACCACATTCTCTTAATCTGTTTTTATCATAATGATTTGATATTGGCCTTCTTTATTTCTATGGTTCCTTATTGCCAAACTAAAATAAGGAAAAGTCGAAAATCACTTGAATGGAACACGTAGTAATATATTGATATGAGTGCATCAGATGGAGATATTCTAGCATAAATGAGAAATGGGAAGACAGTTGTCTTAGTTTCAGTGGGTCAAGACCTGGCACCCCCAACAACATGCAACTCAGAGAACAATTTCTGGCAGATTTTTTTACTCTTTCTATCAATAAGGTGGGAACCAGGGATATAAATAAATGTCTCCAGGCTTGTCTGCATTAGACATTTTCCAGTCCATCATCAAAGCCACAGATTTTAATAAGCTACATATCTCTGTATATGGTCTCTGTGTATATCTATCCTACTTTGGAAATATTTATCCTCAAAATGAATGTTTGTCACAGTTAATGAAGGGCAAGAATCAGAGTCGGGAGAATTTTAAATCTTCTACGATAACTAACAGTTTGATGTATTTCACTTCATAGGATGTAACAGGGTAAATTTTCCATCCCTGACATAAATAAAGTACTAATTTTCAAAATAATATATTGCACATGCTAGGGAAGTATTCTGTCTCCAAGTTGTATTCCTGGCTTGTAACTCCATTCATCTGCTACAGCTACTACAGGGCAGACATCAAGATGAGCTTTAACTGTCAGTTTAGTCCTCATAAGAATGATCGTGTGAGTACCTGACAAAATGCTTTGAAGACTAGGCATGCTTATCTGAGATAGAAGAAGCACCCCAGTTTAGTGTGAAAGGTTGATAGTAAACTATTATCTCCCTCCACAAATGCAAGGAGAAGAAACTGTGTTAATCTATATGTAGCATTTATTAAAAGAAACAAAGCTATACTGAGGATTCACATGGAAGTAAGGCATGACTGAACATAGGCTCCTTCCCAATAATGGAAAGATGGACAGGGAAACACATGCTGCAGTTCAGTGATTGTTAACGTAGGATGAATGAAGTCTCAACTGGTCCCAGTGTGTCTACAGGTATTATGTCAGAGTCAGTGAAGAATGAGAAAGTGACAAATGAAAGGGAGGAACTGAAATGAACCACCTGCTTCTCTGCTTTAGAGATCTTAAAAGCTATGGTTTGAGAGAAACAGACTTGAATTTACAAGGATAATTGCTTCACACATTAACTCTCTGACTTACTGTGAGTCTCAGCTCAGATCCATTCCAGGAGAACTTCAGAAGGATAAAGCCCACATCTGAAAGAAACCTTTCCTCAATACACTGTGACTTCTGCTGTGGTGAAAGTGCAGCATCAACCATCCCTCTCCCTTTCAAACCTTGCAGAGATACACTCTCCGCCAGAGGCATGTGGCTTTTGCTGCAGATACCATCCACCCAGACAAATGTGAAGTTTCCACTTAACACTGCTTAGCTGGTGCATCACATGTATATCTTACCCCATCTCCATCCCCAGGCGGGTCTTAAAAGCCTGCATTTCATCTGATGGGCCTACTCCGCATTGTTATCTAGATGAGAGGTGACATAAGTGCTCCAATCTGACAATAAGAGATGCTGAGCGATGATCCTGAACCCAGGAGCACTCTGCTTGAATGCCTGGCATCCCAAGTAATCTCCCATGCCTACCTCATGGTCCTGTCCCTACAATTCTCCAGAAATATCTCTCTTCAGTTAGGTGTAATCCAGTCCAAGTAATGCACTAGAGAGACTAGAAGGACAAAAGTCAAGTGCAGGGGCTGGAGAGATCACTCATCCTTTAAGAGGGTGTGTAGCTCTCCCAGAGGACCCAGAAATCAGCTAATAATCTTCTGTGACTCCAGTTCCATGTGGAATCCATTGCCCTTTCTGGCTTCAGTGCAAACTGATTGCTTGTGGTGCATAGAAAACAGGCACAATACCCATATACATAAATAGAAGTAAATGAATCTCAAAGATTTCCATGCAAAATGAATGGTCAAGGCAACAGCACATTAAAAGGACCACATCTCAATATGTCTTAGAAGGTTACTACCCCTGCATTGCCGCTGTCACTGGTGCTATATTTCAGGAAAAGAAAGGCAGAGAGCTATAGGTTTCCTCATTTCTTCTATACTCCTGTAACAAATGTTCTCACTTACTGAGATGCATTAGAAAACTTAGGTGTATTTCTGAAAAATCTGATATGAATGATCACGTCATCAACATGTGTGTATCGATTCTCTGTTTTTTGAAGTAGCTAGACATGTGAAGTCAGGTGTTTTATATGGATCTTTTTCCATCATGAAGTGGCTATTCATGGAGTAGGCCATGGAATTCACACCCAAGATACCATCTTGGTTTGTAACCCTGTCTAGCTGAGAACTCACAATGTAGCCTAAGTTTCCTGGGACTTTGAGAGATCCACCTCTGTCTGTTGATTTCTAATGTTACAGGAGTGTGACACCACACCTAACTACAAAGCTACTTTCAGAATGAAGAGAATGTACCAGGTTTAGCTGTCCCCTATGGGAGCACTTACCCTTTTGGAGGAGGGCAGGAGGGGTGGGGGGAATGTGGTAGGCAGGAAAGGGAGGAGTGATGAGAGTTGGATCTATGGTTGGTAAGTAAATTCAGTAAAAAAATTTAAAGGAAAGAATGAAGAGTTGGACATTTTTTTATTTGTGAAATTACAGAAATTTGATTGAATAGGGCCTTAAAGGGGTGTTTAGTATATCCAATGTATAGCTTTAGCAAAATATAAAATCAAAGAAAGAACAAAGAACCAAAAAATAAAAAAACAGCAAAACAAAACAAAGAACAACAAAACCCAAATTCATGCAAACCCCAAAACAAACCAAAACTATTTACATAAGAAGCTTTCTCTTCATGCAGATATCCTGCAGTCTTTGGCTGGCTTTGGATACAAGTTGGAAGACAATCCTGAATTGAAATAACCTCTTCAAGACAAGTGTGGTCATGCCATTTTGGGGCTTCAAGGTTAAGTCCTTGCCAAAGTTGATCTTATGCCATGTTGGCCACTATATGATTCTGTCTGCCAACATGTGTCTGTGTGCCCATTCAAGAGCAAAAAATGACACGGGTAGCATCTGTTACCAAAAGACATAACAGCTCATGGTGACATCCTTCCTAAATCATCTCTCAGAACAATTCACTTCACCATCGCGTGTGCATGAAATTGAGTAGTTCCCACACTGGACTGGAGTGAGAATATGATGCTTCCTTTGTGTGGTCTGTCTGGATAGCAGCATGACATCAACACAGTCTCTGTTGACATATCTCCCTCCACATATGAACCCTCAGTCAGCTACCAAAAGTGTGTAGCAATAAACTTTCAGAGTAACTATGAGTGGAAACATATTCTCTCTCCATGTTGTTGTGGCCCTCATTGGGAACACTTGCTGGTAGATGTCAGCTTCTTCTGCATAACTCTCGGTGTTTATTTTTTTGAATCTCAAGCATCTTCTTAATGGTTTCATTATTCCATAACTAGTGAGTCAACAGACACATGGATCAGATTATGGATGGATGAACTTCAGGGCAGATGATATTTGCCTCACTGGTGATTTCACAACCAGTAGTAGATGTCTTGTTCTGAGGAGGCCTTGATCCTAGAGTGGAGAATGTCAGGGTTTCTAGTTGACTATGGATTCCTTCAGCCTCCTCAGTTCTCATAAAGGGTGCTGTGAGAGAAGAAAAGGCAATCAGATCTAAAAGCAGCCTTGCTGGATCACTAGCTAGATAAATTCAGGGCCTATTCACACATAGGAAACCAGAATCAAGGAAGAACTCCACCCCACAAATGCCGTGTTGCTGGGGATGGGATGTCATGATGGCTCACTTGCTTATGACACTTAATGCTCCTGCTGCAGCAGCTCTGTCGGCAGGAGGCTCTCATCCTGAGCTGTGGATTGTTCCAGCTCATGTTGGAGATTTTCTGACCTAGAGGAGGAAGTTAGTAAGGGCAGAGTCCTGATGGGGATCCACCATGTCACCTGTCATTCAGTGATATCACAAAAACTCAATTGTGCTGGACAGTCAACACTGATCTTTGGCAGCAGTCATTGTATGTACATCTAAGGAATAAGTGTCACAGAATAGTTGGGCCTTGAATTATTTTCTGCCCTTAACAAGTATCAGATGTTGATATGAGTACTATATGTACTGTGCTCTAATGAGAAAGAACAGGACTTTTTCCTACAGTATGGAGACATCATTTAAATAAAAGGAGTAGCATATTAAAGTCATATATAATAGCACAATGGAGATACACAGACTGTTCATGATGAGTTTCTCATCAACTATCTCATTTTTCTCTTGTCCAATTTCTGTTTATTTCTTTCTAGGAAGTGTTAAAATCTGCATCTCTGGCTGACTAGATACATATTCTAGGATGGCTACAAGAGGCCAGAGATTTCCTGCCTGTGCTCCCAAAGAACTTGGATTAAAGACATGAACAATCACATACACCTGTCCTTATTCCTGATTTTAACTGATATTATTTTATTTTCCTCTCCATGTTTTCCAATGCTGTCACAGGTTGATAGAGAAAACCTTAAAATTCCAAGATGTGCTCCTTCTTGTCTTTTTTAGAAGGATTACATGAGTAAGGGTGGTAAAGATCATGATGGGGATATCTACAGATACAACTGAACCAAGCTCAAAAGAAGTCAGGAAATTTAGACTGACAGTTGTGACCTTCTGCATATGGGCCACAGTTGTGGAGGTGGTTGTGTTTGAGGGGCCCCTGGCAGTGTGATCAGGATCTATTCCTGGTGCATGAGCTGTCTTTCTGGACCCCATTACCTATGGTCGGACACCTTGCTCTTGCTTGATAAAGTGGGGAGGGGCTTGGTCCTGCCTCAACAGAATGTATCAGGCTTAACTGTCCTACCATGGGAGAACTTACCCTGTTGGAGGAGGCGATGAAGGGTCAGGGAAGAAGGTGAGTAGGGAGTGGGAGGAGGGAAGAAAGTGGGATCTGTGGTTGGTATGTAAAATGAATAAAAAATAATTTTAAAAAGACCACCTCATTTTATATACATAGACATAATACAACTTTGCACCCAGGTAATACACAAGATAGAGCCCGTCATGCTAGAGTAGTATTTCTTGAGCCATGTGTCTGAGAACATTGTCACTGCATAGTCTCTGGCAATAAACAAGAAGAGCTGTGTTATCCTTAGGCCTACAGCTGGGAATCTACATCCTGGCACTCTAGAGGAGTCTGTTCCACAACACTCGGTGAAGGTTCAGAGACATCTACCTGGGTTCATCCTGCCAATGACTAAACATATTATATCCCCAGTACACTTTACATGGGAAATGCTCAAACAATGAAGACAGCCAGTGTGACATCAAATAGTGACAAGGGTGCAAATCTCATCCTACAGGTGCTAATCCTGAATAAAAATGTAATTTCAGTCAGATATGGTGAGGCACACCTTTAAATCCCATCACTTGGGAGGCATAAGCAGTCAGAGCTCTATGAGTTCAAGGAAAGCCTGCTGAGAACATACCAGATTGATCAGAAGGGAGGAATGGGACACAAGTGTACAGACCCAGGGAGTATCAAACATATTGTTTGCTGGACAGAAGTTCTTGTTGACGAGACCAGCATAATTCTCTGAGTTCTGAGTTAATCTACCCATGACTGGAGCAGGGAGTCTTGCTGATAAGCAAAAGCCCACAAAGGACAGAGAGCCCTGGTACAGGGGACCTAATTGACTCCATACCCCAACTTCAGCCTGGCTTCCTACCTCATCTGGGAGACAGTCAAATGATGATGAGGTTTTATTGCCAGGTGTTTTTGCTGTGTGACCACCTCCCTCTGCTTCAGCTAGCTCTGGAGTATCTCTTCCATTTTTTGCTGCTCCTATTCATTACAAGATTGGGTCCTAATTGGAGGGCTGAGTAGAGTATAGTCAATACATTCTCACACAAGTGAAAGCACACACACAGAATCTCAAGAGCTTATTGGTCAGTCAATCTCACAAAATTTCAAGCTCAAGGGCACATGAGAAAGCCTGCTTGAAGTTCATAAGACAGAGACTGACAAAGAGAGAAACCCAGTGGTCTCCTCTAGCTGTCATCCACATGAAATATGCACTGCACTCCCACATGCCTCTATTACACACACACACACACACACACACACACACACACACACACACACACACACACGGAGAGACAGAGAAAGGGTTGAAACGAAAACAACAAAGTGTTAGAGGAGCAGTTATCTTTAAAATAAGCACACCAGCCTTTAAGCAAAGTCCCAAAACTCAGCTTTCCATTCCTGGGAACTAAAATGGCCTACGGGGGCATACTCTTGAACTAGTGGAGATGGTTAGAAAAATTTTTACTCTTGAACTCAATTCTGTGTGTAGCAATCCTCCCATCATGATGACATGTAGCTGTGTGATAAGTGATTGACCTGTTTCTCCCCATTGACTACAGGTTCAAGAAGAGTATCAGGGATTGCATGCCAATGACCAAGCTTCTCAGAGGAGACTCACTTCTCAGAAATACTAATGCACAGACACAGAATGAACAATTTTATGTCATGAAGTGGGTGGATGGATGGGTGTATGGATGAGGAAAGTGATGAGATAGAGCACAGGTGTCTGGATGGTTAGATTTGGTAAGGTTACATAAGTAAATGATGCTCGACCTAACTGTGACCCAGCTGCCTGTCCCTACCTGTTGTTGCTGGTTCTGGAGGTCACTGATCTCTTCTTGATCCTTACTGAGCACTTGCAAGTCACCCAAGTGGTGCTTCACCATGACCCAAAACTCCAGTATGTTCTCCTTCTCTTGCCTCAGCATATCCAATTTCTTTTTGAGCTGACTCTGCTCCATCAGGAGCCGGCTCTGCAGATCACTGGAAACACACTCCAAATGGTAAGATCATGTCAGCCACCTCTGCTCACCCACAACACCATGCCTCAACAACCCAACTCTATCCCAGGTTCACAGGAAGATGTAAACAAGAACCTTCAACAATAATGACAGTGGCACTCAAAGCCAAAAGCAGAGAACAGTTATTTCCTGCAAGAATCAAACTATTTCTGAAAACCCCCCCAAATAACAGAAATTCATGTACTTCCATAAACAAGAGGAGTACTCCATCTGTCCTAATCAGTCCACTGTCATGAGGAAACACCAGCAGGTAATGTGCAAGTACACTTGGGGAAGTAGAAGACCCTAAGGGTGCATAGATCCCGTATCAGTCAGCTCCTGCCTGACAACCCTCTCCTGAGGACAATTGCTCATCTAACCAGTGGTTCTCAGTATGTGTGTTGTGAACCCTTTGGGATCTAAGGAGCCTTTCACAAGGGACACATATTAGATGTCCTATGAAGACATTTACATTAAAATTATTAACAGTAGCAAAATAAACATAAGAAAATCCTACAAAATAATTTTATGGTTTGGGGTCATCAAAACAATAAAGCAATGTATTAAAGTATCACAGTATTAGGAAGGTTAATAACCACTGATCTGGAGGCTACTGGATGACAATATGGTGCTTGGAAGAGCTAATAACTCTTTAAACCTTAGCAAAACTGAGTAAAGAGGCATAAGTCCAAAGGCTGCTTGCTAATGCTGCTGGCTAAGAAGCAGAAAAACTAGAAGCACATCTACAGACCCTACAGTTCAAACACAAAGAAAATGAGAACTGGACATTGTACAACAGTTGGGGTCCCTGCCAAGATAAGCACTTACAAACGGAAGACTTTCCCTTTGGTCAGCTCACTGAGCTTCTGTGAGGCCTCCAAATTCTCATTCTCAAACTTCTGCAGGGCTGACATGACCTGCTGATGTTCCATCTTGAGCTTTTCCCAGAAAGGATTTGGCCTGTGGTAGGGCCTGGACCCAGAAGCAAAGAATTCCATGAATGCAGGCCTCAAGGTTCACATGAATTCAGTGTGTGTTCTATATTACTGGAATTAATAAGATGCCACATCTTGGCTCCTATGTACTGGGGCCTCTGGCTGCTTATTACACTAGCTCTTCTGGTCCCAGGCCAGCAAAGTCAGGGTGTTAAGAGGGATGCAGCTGGAATATGCTCCCTCAGGAGTCCTGCACAGCTTGCTATGGAGTTCCCATGAGTCTATCACAGGTCTGGGCCCACCAGAAACTGTGATGTTTCTGCTGTCTTCAAATAAGAGATTCTCATTCCAGGGTGCTTATATTGACAAGGAGACTAAAATCACATCATGAGCATTTCAGAGGATGGGACTCAATATTATGACAACTTCATAAATTCCCCCAGGGCATTCCCAGTTGACACCAAGGTGTTACACTGCAAAGGGCTATGCTGCTCAAAATGGGGCTCCCAGTACACCAAGTAGACAACACCTAGATACTGAGACAAGCAACACTTCATGTGCAACCATAGACTCTTGATTGTAGGGTGAAGAGGGACACATATGCACAAACAAACAAACACATAGATTCAGAAACATGGAGGGAAGGGAGAGAGAGAGAGAGAGAGAGAGAGAGAGAGAGAGAGAGAGAGAGAGAGAGGGAGAGAGAAACTGAGAGAGGGAAAGGGGATAAAATGCTCTCATTGAGATGACAAATTAATTCATGCAATTGTGTCATCTTAGAGAGGACCAAGAGCAGCAGACATCAGTACCAGGCCTTGCTGCCACATATTAAGATGTGGTACAAAAACTCTCCAGCTGCTACTTGAAGCATGCAGCACACAATGTCTTCCCAGGCAAGTAAAAAAAAATAATAACAGCATTCTCACACTAGCCACCACTTGACAAGATCTCTCCAAATGCATGCTGGGAATTCACACACTACTGCTTCAGTTCCTGAGTTATGTGATTCAGGCCACAGGTCTGATTTTCATTTGGAGGAAGCAGAACAGTCTATGTCCCCATCTCACTCCTGCCCATGTGTCAGGTTTTGCTTCAGGGAAGCATTTAGAGAAATGGTGTTGGGCAAAGGGACACCCAACCTCCCAGAAGCCCATTTCTTAGACAAAATAAACTAAGGGTGAAATTGTGGAACCGAGACAGTCACCATGGAGTTTGAAACAGTAAATACCTGTTGTCCAAGGATCCTTCAGTTACTAAGATGAGGCGATCTCTCAGATCATTCCGTTGGGCGGTCATCACCTGGAGCTGAGTGGTCAGGCTCTTCACCTTCTGCTTCACTTGCTTCTTTGTGAGGCTGGTTGGAGTGGGTGGTGGCTCCTTGGAGGCCCCTGTGGGTAGATGAATGAACACAAGTGAACATGCATTGTGACAAGACATAGAGAATGAGCAGGTCATCCTGAGACCTGAGAAGGTGTTTGAGAAAGGATGTAAGCAAGCAATTCAGTGACACCCCAAAGAATTTTGCCCAGGACTGAGATGCTCCCGCTGGGCATCTTAGGTCTCCCATCTCTGTGACAGGAGATAGGTGTCTCAGCCAGCTGATTTCCTCTGCTTCTTTAGCACATGTTTTAGGTAACTAAGGAGAGAGCCTCCTCAGGCTTATTAACAGCTCTGGACTCTGCATTCAACTTGGCTGCAGGGTTCACTAGTCTGTGGCTTTCAAATGCAAGATAAAATTGACACAGTCCACAAGCACTCAGGTCATTAAAGATGCACAAATATCCTGACAGGTCACTCTAAGCACATGGATAAAATGGAGAATCCACCGTGCGGTGGTGGTGCACGCCTTTAATCCGAGCACTCGGGAGGCTGAGCCAGGCGGATCTCTGTGAGTTCGGGGCCATCCTGGTCTCCAAAGCGAGTTCCAGAAAAGGCGCAAAGCTACACAGAGAAACCCTGTCTCGAAAAACCAAAAAAAAAAAAACAAAAACAAAATGGAGAATCCACACAGGGACAGAATATGGTCACCATCCTCACCAAGAGGCCTCAGTGACAAAGGAGGGTGCATAGAGCTGGTGGGCTGTAAATAAATGAAGACACTGAGGTTGAAGTACATTGATGACCTGCTTTTTCACTTGAACTTCCTACCCCAATGCTGGCCTTTTTGTCCCCTCTCAACCCCTACCCTCCTGTAGGATTGAAAGGCAAGAGCTCCCAGCACAACAGCTTTGGCCTTACCCGCTCCTGATTTCTGGGACAGACAAATTACTCTTCTGGAATCCTTGAATTTCAGGAGCCACGACAAGCAGGGAAGTCCAGTTGGTTCCCAGAGACTCCTACCTCCTATGTCCCATTACTGGAAGATTCAGCTCAAGCCCATGTCCTGCAGGAACATCCCAATTTCCTGCCCACAACTTACTGTACCATCTTCTGGATCATTTCTTTCTTGATGGTTCACATTGGAATGGCTGAAGGCCAGCTTGTGTCTGCCTCTCTCTGGTTTCTCTTCCCTCTCCTTTCTCTCGACCAAATAGAGTCCTGAGTCTTCCCAACATGTTCATGGCTGAACTGTAAGGGCACTGAACCAACTGTCCAAAGGCAGTTGGTGTTGCTACAACACAGGTGACATCAGATAACATTCTAAAGTCTCCAGGATACAATAGAATGTCCAGGCATGAGACACCCCTGATGTCATGGGGAACTGACATTGCCTCCCTGCTAACCAGATCTCCTCATAACTCTTCAGAAGTCAGGTTTTCCATTCTAGGAATCTCTCCTGGGACTCAAGAGAAATGCTTCAGTACCCTCTTGTTCCATAGCCAGAGATTGCTCTCTGATTTTTTGGAAATGCCTCAGTACTTCCATGTGGGAAAGAAAGTGAGTATTCATCTCCTATTAAAGTATATGTCCAGAAGGTAACAGTATTATAGACATTGATGTGAGGTATGATTCTCCACAAGTACCTGCATCTCCTTATCAAGAAATGATAGACTTAATGATAATGGAAAGGACACTTTTTAAAAAACTTCCCGGTATGGAGCCTACAGAAATTACTGCCAGTAAATAATATGCAGCTTATTTGATTTAAATTGATGACCACAGCAGATTGCATTAGCATGTTACATGGGATCTATAGATAATCACTACCCAGTACATCAACTTTTAAGAGTTTCTGAAAATGCTCAATGGGTATGACCCAAAATTACATCTAAAAATCCTGTAGAGTTTGCTCTTAGTGATTTTACAGATTGTTCTTCAAAAAGACAAGGACCATATATTTTATACACAAATTCTTCACCCTCCTCAGAATGGTTAGTACCTTCCCATGACTGTACAGCTCAACAGTCAAAACTTACTATATTCCATTAGTTTTTATTAGACATTGCTCAGTAATAGGTTACTTTTAACTCACTTCATGTATATATTTGCACATGAAGGATAGAGTTATACTAAAAATGGAAACTGGCCAACACTGATAGAAAAAAATTGTTACAAAAGTATTTTAAATTTAAAAAAATGTAATGAAAGATGAAAATCTCTAAACTCTATTTTGTACTCTAACACATTTTATCGCTAAATTTCTTTGCCCCCTAATCTCAAAAAATATTATCTTATGATGTAATTTCTTTAACTTTGGATGAATACATTCCTGGGGCTTGGTTAAAATTTGTAAAATGCATAACAAAAATTAGCTGAAAACTTGTAACAAAAGGTTATCACTTTTAAAATCTATATATAGGCAGCATGTATAAAAGTTATTATTCCTACTATCCCCTTTGGTTATTATTGTATCTCCTTTATATACTAAATAGGCAATCACTGCTCCTCAAAATATTTTGGAGAAAGGTGGAGTTTAATATCATGAAATATCCCTAAGGAAATATAGGTCTACTCAGGATAGAAGAATCTGACTCAAAAGATGTATATCTAACCACTCTTGTATTTGCAAACTGTTCAACACCAGGATTCTGGAAAATTTACATAAGAATCAAATATGTGATTGATAAATTGGGTATATTTGATAAATACCTAACGTCTATTTAGGCGAGCAGAATGCACTTGAAAATAATATATCTAGTCTCTTTGTCTTTCCAAACTTTGTTAATCTTTAGCTCTTTGCATAAACTGAGTCATACAAACTGTGATATTCTATTATGGCATACCCTGAACAAGTAAAAAATAAAATAAATTTCAATTCTGGGGACTGTATTTATTTAAGTTTTATATTTGAGGCTAAAGGATCTTAAGTTAAATCTTCAATCCAAATTTTTAAAACTCAAACTCAACAGGGATGAAATTGTAAAATCCTAATCATAAACAAAAGCTTCCTTGTAAATTGTTAAAGACAATTAGGTCATACAAGTTAATGTTAATCACCTCGTAAATAATAAAATTCTTTAAAGTGTTCTAAAACTATGCTTGTAGTCATACTAATTACAAATCTATTTCATTTTACAGGTAAAAGCTTTAGTTAGAATGCTGTTCATATTTTCAAGGTTAGGCCAAAAGCAATGATTAAAAATGAATGAAGTTTGTTTACACAGACCGTTTACCTTGCTGACAGACTTTAGGTTGAAAGAAATAAACCCTCATAGTGTGTTTCAGTGGAACTTCTCACTATTCCTTTATTTCAGGGAACTTGCTATGCAATCAGGTAAATAAAAAAATAATAAATTCAATTCTATTAAAACACGGCAGTAATAGTGAACTGCTTGATCATTCCTCACAGAGAACCTAGAACAAAGAGCCTCCTCAGGAGAAAAGCTAGAAGCAGCCTTGACTCAGGTTGCTGGCAGGAGGCTTAACCAAAGGCTTGGTGCCATGAGTTGTCTGTTACTGTTACTATAGGAGCTTTCCCTGCTTATGCCTGGTCCAATAATGCACGCATCCAATGTGCGCAGTGCTAGCAAAAGAAATTTGGTCTTCTCTTTAACATAAAAAATGGAGACCTTTTCATTGTATGTCTTTCAGAAATTGAAAGCCAGAACATCACCTATATTTCTTGTATTTGTGATTACTAAAACTGAATTCTTTTAAATTTATATTTGTGTATATCATAAGAACTTAAAACAACGTAAACAGGTTTAGCCAGGTTTAAACATAAGAGTGAATTTTTTAAAAGGGTTTTAAAAATATTTCTACTAAATAATATAAATATAATGGCCAACAATGCCAAAATAATTTCATGTTGCTCTAATTCCCTTGGAGGTCAAAAACGGGTTAAACAAAAATGCAATCAGTAGAAGTTAGAGTATTTGGGAGTTTTCATCAAAAACTATTCTTTCTCAGCTGTCAGTATCTAGATGTCTATGCTCAGAATTGGCTCACTACAGGCATACATGAAGCCTCTCTCTAGCTAATCAGTTGCAGAGCACAACATGTGTTTAGCACGGGGCACTTCCACAAAAATACAATAGTGTCTTATCTAAAACTTGACTTGTCAAATAGCTCTTTATGGGTGTCCATGCTAGGACTCCCGTTACAACTTAAAACTGGTAATGATCCTGCTTATACTAGGCAACCCCTTCAAGAATTTTACACTTTATGGAATATTAACCATGTTACTAAAATCCCTTACTATCCATAAGATCCAGCTGTTGTAAAACGCTCTCAAATAATTAAATGGGCAAGTTTCAAAAATAAAAGGGCAATATTTCTGAACTTAGGTAAAACTACACACAATACTACATTTAGCCAAGTTAACCATTAATTTTTCCACTTTAAAGTATAATTGTTTTCTGCTTCCCTTAAAGCATTTTGCCTTAAAGTATATACAGCCTAAAGGAAATGTTAAGTCAAAAGATATACAAACTGATTGATGGAGAGGGACTAATAAACTAACCTTGAGGCAAGGATATGTTTATATTATTCTGGGAAATTCATAAAGTCCTAGATGGTTTTCGAACTGACCAGGATAGCATCCCTGAGACCACCTAATAATGAAACAACTGAATGTAAACAACAAACCCATGACTGTGGGATGGAGAGTAAACCTATCTTTAACTTGGAGCAAGAGACATCAAGATGCTTTCTGATCACTGAGAGTTTGGGGTGAAAACAAGGACACTTATATTACTGAATCAAGAATGATGTTTTATTTCTTGACTTATTACATGTTAACACTAACCTTCTCAATGAAAGATATATTTTGATAGGAGGGATAAAAGGCACACCTATAATTGGAAGCACTATGATGTTGTTTTGCCATGCTAAGGTTTGTTTGTAAGCTTTTATAACCAATCCTAGGAATGGTTACTAGAATATAAATAGAGGTGTCAAATATGGCCTCTGTGATCTGTAAAAATACTATTACAGCAAAATATTATCAGATACTAATCAAGAGATAGATGAAATGATCAATACCCAAGCAAGGGACCATGACTGGTAGAGTGTACTACTTTATTAAATCTGAATACTACTCACAGTCATGAATACTACACTAGTCCTTACTTTGAGAAGCCTATATCAAAGGATTTTGCAGAGCTCTCACCAAGGCTTATTCATTTCAGAAGACACCAGGTAAATATTCCATCATTGAGATTTTAAGAAAAAAAAAATGTAAGAAAACTTTTCCTGATAGAAGGAGCCCTAACTCTTCCTATCTGGACCTGAGAAAACAGTAGCTGACATTCTGCTCAGCAGGGACCTGACTCTTTGCACATTTTACCTTGTACACTGGAGTAATAACTCTGCTCCTCTGACCAGCACTATCATCTTTGTCTACACAGGGGACAACATCACCTCAATA